AACTACAGCTAGATAAAATTTAACGCGTTAGGGCTCTATCAGTGTTCTTATTCTACTTTAGTAGTGCCAGGCCTAAGGCAGAACTAATGGTCATCAGGAACACACTGAAGGAAACAGACGAACCAGCGTTACAGTAGTCACTGTCACAGCAGCCCACTGCCCATTTTCCGTCTTTGAGATCGTCACATACTTTTTTGGCAGCTTCACAGAGGGCTTCAGTGCCACAGGACTCAGGAACTTTGGTTTTATCATCCTTTTTGCGCCAGTCTCTGATACAAGTACCGGTTGGACAGTTGACAGAGTATTTGGCCTTGTCAGCTTCCAGTTTATCCTTTTTGCAGTCATCTTCTGTTCCCCCGCACACATAACACTTGAGGCTGTGAACTGTTGTGGAATAAATTATGAAACGTGTGTAAGTTCCTCGAAATAAAAAGGCAACTACAAAGTCGGATATGAAAAAAATTAACTGCAGCGTGGTCGATTACGTGATCAACTCCCGCTCTTACTCTGTACAAAACAATATCCTTTGATTATTTGTTCCGGCGGGATAAAAAATAGTCCACATCTTAAAACGTCCGACTTAAGGTTCAAATTACCTATTAATTTCATCTGTCACGAGACATCTTCGTAAAAAAAAAAAAACCATTCGAGAAAGTGAAAAAATTGCTTGCTGGATAGATTCTCGCGTGCTGCACCTATTTACACCTCTCATAGACCCATTCAGCCGAATCAATCAGATCAGCTTGTCATGTGAACAGCGTTCTCGCACATATCAAAAAGCCCATTGGAGATTGGCAACTAAGAAAACAAAACACTACATTACTTAAATGACTTTAAGCTAGAAATTGTTATGATTGAAACTTGCTTGATTGACAACTATCCGTTCACTTCACAGTTGCTAATGCAGTTAAGTTTACTCAGTAAAAAGGGGGGTGTAATTCTACAGATAAAACTGTGATAGGACACAAACGCGCAGACACAGTCACCGACGATTTTATTTGACCATTGTATGCAAGATGCAGGAAAATAAACCAAATGAAAGAGGCAGGGTCGCACTTACGCTTTTGGTGTTTACATTGGACAGAAAATCTGTCATCGTCTGCTTGCCACAAGTGCGACCCTTTTGTCGCAACCAGGCATAACCATGTCCGAAGGACCTAAAGATCAAAAAAGCCGATGTCCTGCCTTGAGGTAGGCCATATC